GGCTTGTGATGTCGCCATTTGCTCTGCATCTTTCTTAGCCAGCTGATCGATGGGGTAATCTTCATGAAAGGTCCTACTTGTTAACTTCAAAAACGAGCCCGCCGTTGGTGTCGACTTTGTATGTCGTGCTGTTGCCGGCTGCTAGACCAAAGGCCGCATCTGCCGCGCCCAAGAGGGACGCCAGGCTGGTGAGGAGGCTGATGTAGTGCATCTCGACCCCGAATCGGAAACCTTGCGATCAGATTAACAGTACCTTGGATCCCGTACAGGAACTACTCATCAACAGGACCGCTCCCATCTCGTACACGCATCACAACGGGCGAGATAGCCTACTTATCGTCGCCTCAAAACCCAAATTCCCCCTCATCGTCGACTAGTTCTCCCGCGCGGAGAACCATCACGCATTTTCCCGTCCTCTACAATTCTCCGAAAGCTTGATTCTGGCGCGACGCGTAGTACATAGATTTGGAGCAAGATCCCCTCATTTCGTCCCAAACCTTGAGCGAGCTGCCCTTTCCCGGGAATATCTGCAGCAAAAGGCGGCGGCGGTGGTCCGTGATGGTGTTACGTGATACGTTAGCTCGAAGCTGCAGCCAGACACAGCTGTTTACCTGTTACGGTTTGGAGACGATAAGCATTCGGCTGACGAGCTTATTTTGAATGAGATAGATAGAATGCAGAGCAGACAAAAGATCCGCGAATCACGATCAACGACATCCAGAAGCATGGTATCTAGTTTGCATGTAATGCGAGGGATCCTGTGGGATTGTTACTATGAGTGAGCTACGGAGTAGAGGTTGTTGGTTGGTGCGAGCAAAAAGGAGGGCGACGCAGTTTGCAGTTCACGTCCACCAAACTGTTTCGACGGACGTTGATTTTGTTGTTGGTCACTGCCCATCTTCCCGGCTGGGGGTATTCACACAAAGTATCCCACCGGGACCACATCACCACGTGGTGAGCGGTGAAATGAAAAACAGACGTGTCGGTCGTCATGGGATAATTACTGCCCGGAACAGTGTGCCAAGGACGATCACTAGAGCAGAATATCCAAATGGCTGTTGGCTAATCGCTTGGCCATAAGATGTCCACGGGAGCCGCGGCGGCTTGTAAGGATTAGTTGGATGTAACCGGCTGGGGGGTGTTCACCGGAGGCCTTCGACGTTCAGACGAAGCACCTGTTCGTTAGCAATAGATCCCAAACGCTGCAGCGCGTCGCAAGGCCCCAAAGCAGGCCATGCTTCCCCAAAGTTGTCGACATAAGAGATCCTTCGGAGTATCGTCCGACTGGCGCTCTCCCCCAACTCAAGGGACCGTTGGACTTCATGAAGCAGAGGCCCGCCGCAGGACAGGGCGCGCGCACAGCCAACACCGCGGCGATCACTGACTCGTCGGGGCTTTGGTGGCATTTCCCCAGGCCCACGCTTCAGTGCCGCTCGCAATCTCAACGGGATCTCGGCCCCGTGTTCTGGCGGAAGATGCCGCTATGCATTTGAGCGAGAATTGGAAGTTTTCCAGAAAGGTGAAGAGTCAAGAGACTTCTACTTCGGTTTCGGTGTTGGAAATATCCGAGCACATCTTGCTGTATGGATATTGTACGTGAACCCTTGCGAATAGACCAGAGTCCAGACCCCTTCTTTAAACGGGAAATCATCGAATCTTCTATAACGCCGCCATCAATGGCAAGTGACATTTAGAGCAGAAAGCATTCGCCACTTATCCTTCTTTGCGTGTGTCTTCGCCGGGAGTTATAAAGCGATCTGTTCGGGTAGAACCAAGTCCAGTCTTGGCTCCTCAATAACACGATTGCCGACGCCATCATCCTGAAAAGCGGCAAAGACATTAGCAGACGGCATGAGGAACAGGTCACCACAGCCACTTAAGCCACATTGAACAGCATAGGCACACCGTTTGATGTCCCGTCAAAAATATATTGTGCCAGGGGTCATCCCCCGTCGCTCCCCCAGACCTCCATGGCTATCCATGTCGTCAATGAGTCGTTCGCGCTGCCAAAACTCGCGCCGCAAGGAAATCGGCACCGCTATATCTCGCTCGCTCCTCCCTCACAGCAACATCATCAGGTTTATAATTCTCACGAAGCTACAGTATCTCTACACGATCGAATTCACACAACCCGCTTCCCACCAAACCACATCGAAATTCACATCATCATCATGAAGGTCACCGTCGTCCTCGCCCTCGCCTTGGCGCACGCCGCGTAAGTCCACCCGCCAGCGCACGCCATTAACCTTAATCATTTTGGGTTTCCGTCGCTAATAGACCTGCCGCGCCAGCCCGGCATTCGCTGGCTATCTCTGCGTCACCAACAGCGGCAACCCGAACCCCAGCACCAACATCTGCACCGCAGTCGGCGGAACCCCGGAGAAGAGCTACCCTGCGGCGGTAAGTCGTGACAAGTCTCGCCTTGGAGCAGGAGCGCATTTGCTAATTGACAATTGTTGCAGTGCTGCGTTGATGACAGCAAGTTCGGCGCCTACCAGCAGGGCTGCAAGGACAACGGCGGCATCCGCGCGCAGTACACCTACATCTGCTAAAGAGCGAGCGAGTCGATGCTTGGGACGTTTGAAGGCGAGAGTGTTTTTTGGGATACCACGAGCGTAATGTGAAAGCATAATACCAAATAGTCTATCAGGATTATAGAGAAGATATGTCGAAATGTCTGGTCAGTGATCTTCGAAACCTCTTGTTGAACTAGGAAGGTCACCTAGGCAACGTTGCTGTTCACCTCGACTTACTAGGCAGTTGATTCTCATCTCTCACCTGGCGTCGAGGCCATCAAGACGGACATTGAAACAGATGACAACCTTGTGGCACGTTGGATCTCTAGACATGGCGCAAGGATGACAGCTCAACAAGACAAAGCTCGGTTGAGAACGCGCAGAACATGCTCGACGCACATTGGTGCATGGAGAAAAGCGATACTCATAAGCCACGAAACAGAAGTCATTCGTCATGCTCCTCCATGCTAAAACCCAATCTCACACGCGAACTTTTGCTTTATTGGCAGCAACTTTCCACATTACCTACTACTGAATGCTCATACGCCCTGTCTGGTTCAGGCAATCTTGTACACAAGCTTCTCAGCACTTACACCGCCCTCCTCCTGCAACTTGAAGCCCTTCGGGATGTCTTCCAGGCCACCAAACTCCTTTGGCGGGTTCGGCTTGAGATAACCATCCTCTAGCCACTTGGGAATCACCTGAAGGTACTTCTCCCAGAACTGCTTGTCGCCGCTCCTGTCACCCTTCAGATTATCGAAAGCGCCGTACTCAAGCGGCTTCCCGAAGACGGTGTACGCCAAAGTGCTCTCAACCTTGACGTACGACGGCGCCTCAACCTCGTCGGCCTTGCGGGGCAGAATGCACATGACGTGCCCGCCCTCGGACGAGATCGTCTGCACAACGGCCTTGGTGGTGTCGACCTCGCTGATGCAGTCAAACGCATACTGCAGCTTGTCGCCCGCCGCCTTCTTCACCTGCTCGATCCAGTCCGCGTCGCGGTAGTCAGCAGTCACGTCCGCGCCGAGGCTCTTCAGGAGCTCGTGGTTCCTCTTGCTGCCGGTGGCGATGACCTTCAGGCCCGCCTTCTTGGCAAGCTGCACCGCGTAGAGCCCCACGCTGCTCGTGCCGCCGTTGATCAGGATCGGGAACGGCTGCGTGGCCGGGCTGGACGGCGGCGGCAGCGCCAGGCGCTGAAAGAGGGCCTGTACGACGGTGGCGACGGCCAGCGAGACGACGGCGGCCTGGGGGTCGGTGGTGCTGTCGGGTACAGGGAAGACCAGGCTGCTCTCGGTGATGAGGTACTCGGCGAAGGCACCGCGCGGGGGGTCGGGGCTGCAGCCGAAGACCCAGCCGGCGACGCGCTGGCCCTCCTTGAACTGCGAGCCGTTGGGGTTGACGACGCTGCCGGCGAAGTCGCAGCCGATGGTGCGGCCGGCGTCTTTGGCTGAGGCGGTGGACTTCCAGTCTGTCGGGTTCTGAGCTACGTAGTGGACTTTGACGAGGATCTCGCCCGCGCCGGGTTGTGGGATAGGGATCTGAGTGGGATGTCAGTGAATGCGGGGTTGAAAGTGTGCCCGTCATGAGATGGGGCTCACCTCTTCGATCTTTGCGGTCTTTTCGCCGGTTGTGACGAGGGCCTTCATTGTTCCCGACATGATGCTGACTGGGTTGTGTGAATGAGTTTGTTAAGTGAGTGTGTGTTGTAGTTGCTGGTCGGCCATATGTGTCAAAACTTGACCGTCTGGATCACGACTTTTATCCGGCTAGAGGTTTAAAGTGGGGAGTGACGTTGAAGTGTTGTCTGAATAATTGCGTTCGCCGATGAAACGCTTACAAATCTTGTGCTGAACTGTTAGACTTCGAGGCGGTTCTGCACGGCATTCGCAGCGGGGATCTTTTGGCATTGGATCTGCGCATAGAGATAAGTGGTAGGACCGGGTCACCCCCACACGTCAAAGCGGACGATGAGGATGCACGAATTCAAGCTGCTGTTGATTTATAACTTCATCGTTGTGAGATGTTGGAGTTGAGGATTACAAACCACATCTTACGTCCTGGACTTAGTTCGGAAGTAAGCTGCCGCTTCACCACAAGCACAACAAACATGTTGCATGCACTCAGTCGGTAACAGCGTCTCTGGCTTCCGATCGTCCATATCAAACAGCTAACCAAAAAGAAAAGGAGCTATTGTTCCGAAACCGAGAATCGAACTCGGGGCTATGCCTAACCTCTCAAGTTCATGAGAGGGCATCATGTTGGCCACTACACCATATCGGAGTTGACGATATGGATTTTCTGCGGGATCTTGGCTAACAGGCCCGCTGCCAACTGGGGCACTCGCGGAGCACTTCCAAACACAGTCGAGCCAACGTCGAAAGGTTTTGCTAATGAAAACGAGTTGCTATAGGTGGATAGTATGCAAACAGACGTGCTGCAAAAACTGCTGAACTTTAATGATCATGGATTGAAGCTGCTGACTACCTAGATGCACTCATATGAAGCAGCATCATCAGGATCAGTTCCAGTAAAGGTCAGGACCTTGGGATACATGCACAAGTTCACCGTACGGGTCTCGCTCGAGTTGCCGACCGCAGTTCTCTGGCCAGTCAAAGTCTCCGGCGCCGTGCCGTTCTCAACCCAGGCGCGCAACGCGTCGAAGACGTAGTCGCTCGGGTCAAACCCAGCGCCGCCACCGCAGTGAGAGATACCCGGAGCAGGGAAGAATCGGTAGTAATCCTCGACATTCGCATCCCAGGCCTTGACGCGCTCGTAATAGTCGACCGTGCCGTTGTACGGAATAAGAGGGTTCTGCATGCCGTGCCAGGTGATCATCTTCGTTCCGCGCTTCTTGAAGTCCGTCAGGTCGACGTTGTCGGTGCCGATGGAGGAGGTGTACTCGTCCACGGAGATGCGGTGCAGTCTGTCGAACCGCTCTTGGGTGATACCGGAGCTCTCGATGCTCCAGGTGGAGTTCCTCTCGAGGAAGACGCCGAACCAGTCGTTCGTAGCGGAGAAAGGCGTGTAAGTGCAGTTATCGACCGATGTGCAGGTCGGGCTGAAGACGGCCGTCAGAGGAGCATCCTGAGTGTAACCGTACCATTGGAAAACGCCCTCAGCGCTGCGGGGTCCCTCCCAGAAGCCGTGCACGAACTGCGCAGTCTTCTCATCGATGGTGATCGTCGCGTTGGGGTTGGTGCATGCGACGGTCTGGCCGATGAGAGAAGAAGCGTTGAAGTTGCAGGACCCGGGGAGAGAGATGATGCTGTCCTTGACGCCGTCCAGTTCGTCGCATGCCTCGATAGCAGCATCCGTGAAGGCGTTAAGAACGCAGGATGGGGGGATCACGTCTGTAATCATGTCAGTCAACTCTTCCTCTTCCAATTGGTGACGCAAAGCTTACCCAGCAACTCAGATAAGAAGGCCGGGTACATGGACGCAGTCTGGAACTTCTGCCAGTTAACGCCGAAGCCGAGGCCAGGATGCCGTCAAAGTGCTCAGGGAATCTCTGCGCCATCATGTGGCCCTGTCGTCCTCCGGTTGAACACCCATTCCAGTACGAGTAGGACGGATCCTTGCCGTAGTACATCTGCGTGGCAGCCTTGCCCAACTTCGCAGCTTCATCGAGGGCCACAGACGCAAAGTCATTCAGCGCCGGCCAGTTGGCGTTGCCCTCACTGACAAGACCCCATTCTGCGGTCGTAGTCGTAGAGTTGTGCCCTCCATCGGTTGACGAGCTCGAGTAACCAGATGCCACGGGGCCGATGATGACGCCCGATCCGCCAGCAACCCAACCGCCACCTCCGCCCATCATGAACCGGGAGTTCCAGTTCGCCGCCTCAAGAGGAAGTCCGATGTAAGTGTTGACGTTGTCGTTCTGTCCGGGGTGGGTGTACTGGATAGCGATCTGGCAGAGATCCACGCCGGAGGCCGTCTCTCCCGTCGGAGCCGAGATGATGCCCACACCAACGCCGGTTCCAGCGTCTTGACCGGAGGCCAGAGACTGGTTGCGCAGAGCAGAGACATTAAGAGAGATGATCTCGATGTTGCTCAGCGTCAGTGAGGCGAAGGTCGCCGAAGTGCAGGCGCTGGAGTTCGAGGCAGCGGCGACAGCCGTCGCCGCGCCGAGGACCGAGAGAGAGCGTGCCGAACGGGCTGCCATGGTCATTTGCTGAGGCTGGCTGACTTCGAGAGAATGTGCGCCGACAACATCACAACAGACTGTTCTCACCAGACTCACCGGCCACGATCCCTGACTTATAAAGCCCCCTTTTCACGCATCGGGGCAGCTCCGACGTCCTCGGACCAAGTACGAAAGAGAAGCCCCCAAAGCCAAGGCATGACTACGTAAACAAACCTGCTCCCCAGCTGCCAAAACGCACTCTTTTCCACGTCTGCAATCTCCGAATGCTGCAGTAGCCGTCCAATTCCCCGCTTCGCTTATTCAATCCGAACTCCTTGGTTAGTCCGGTTCGTCCGTACCTGCCTTTCGTGTAACGGCGGCCCAACAGCTTGGCCTTCTTCGGCGTGCGAGCTGCAGCTGCGCAAGCCGAAGCGATTGCCGATGTGGGTGAGATCCCTGCTGCATACGACGATCTCTGTTTGTCCCACCCCCACATTCAGTTGCCGGATGAAGAGCCGGCACCGTCTGGGCATTGAATATTGGTTTTCAAGGCCGGAAAAACGTCAATTGACGTCGGGTTTTGTATTCCGTTTGAAAGTGTTGAAAACTGAGTAGGAGTGGCTGGTGTGCTTCATCACTTATTGAACCAGCCAATGTCATCTAATGATGTCTTCGCCGCTTGCTCGGTTTGCCCCCACAAACGACAGTCCGAAAGTCTCGAGGACGAACCCTTAGCCTATGGGTGAATTACCGGATAGGATCATTACAGGCAAAAATAAGAAAACACCAGCAGATACGCACCTGCATATTCTTGCTCAGTAAGTAATCGAAAGAAGTGGGAAAAGAGCCTTTCATCACAAATAAAAACGTAATTGTGACCACGAAGGAAGCAAAATATTTGGACACTGTGGGAATTGAACCCACGACCTTTCACAAAGGCGCAACTTAATCAACACTGGAACACATCGTGAACTCAGCGTCAGCTGGAAGGTGCGAAGCGAAAATCATACCCCTAGACCAAGCGCCCGATTGCCGATGACTGGTGGCAACAGCAAGAGCCCTAAGACCCAACACGATACTGAGGAAAGTGTTCGATCAGGCGGTTACGGCTTCCAGAAGTCGTTGTCGATGGAGTGGAAAGGTGAGATACGTGCTGACTTCCGATGCTTGACTGTGACACAGAACTTCTTCAGGGAGGCGCGCAAAAAAACAAACCTCGAACCGAGTGCGAAGAGGAACGGCCAGGGAAATGAAGGGCCCTTGCTTAGCGGCGAGTCATATTTACAGGGCTCTGTGATGAGGTCCCAGTCCATCCCTCAGGGGTCGTGGCCAAGAACCCTTTATTTCCGGGCCACCGCCCCCATGCTGTTAGATTACACCAACGCAGTCTGAATGCCGGAAGCACGGAAATTGAAACATGGCATTCTTGGATGCGCCGAAATCCCATCTGTGTTGGTCTGGACTCTAGCACGACGACTTCCATCACGACCTCGGCACCATTGAGTCCGACACGGAGAACTGGTGAAGGTGCATGAGGCAGAAAGCGTCGCTGGTGTATCACACCTTGATTGACGAATGATGTACCTACCTACAAAAACTCTGCAGTATTTACTCGTCGCAATGCGCAAACTTCGCTTTCAAAAACAACATCTAGATTCTGGAATGTAAGCGGCTGCGGACTGTGCCCAACTGTCTCGGAGTTGTTTTCCTCCACAATACCAGACTGTGTATCATTCCAATGAAGCTCGTTCGAAAATCTAAACATTTTGACCGTCACATACATCAGCTGCGTTAGCCCTTCTTTCTGTTATGGATGCTCTCGCGTGACCAGACTCAATCACTCCAACAGCCTGTAGACCCACGATGTCCTACCGCGGCCCGCAGAAGAACCCACTGATTGTCCTCGCCGACGGCTCATGGAGCGGCCGAGATGTCGGATCAGAATCCAACCTCTACCTCCTCGCAAACCTGATATGGGGAGGGCGTGGCCTGCCAAAGAATGATGACCGGGCACATCTTCACCCCTCGGGAAAGATCCACTACACCAACAGCGTCCCGCCTGGTAGCACATTCATGGAGTGAGTATTTCTGAGCAAACGATGCATCAAAAGATACATGGTTACTGACATCTTCATCGCGCCAGTCATGTCTTTCACGGGTTGAACGTTCAAGATATCGAGCAGCAATGCGTCGACACATATGAGTACCTCGTTCGGGGCTTCACCCCTCTCGAGACCGAGATCTGGATGTTCGGCGCATCCCGCGGTGCATACATCGTCCGCTCCGTAGCGGGCATGATCAACAACTGCGGCATCGTCAAGCCGCTATACCAAGCGAATGGTGATGTCGACGAGGAAAAGACACATCAGCTCTGCCAGGAAGTATACCGCATCTATCGCGATCCGTCCGACGCGACTGCGCCAAAGTCCGAGCAGTCGATACAGTTCAGGTGGATGTACAGCTGGCCCCTCATTGGAGATGGCGAGGTCATTGACGCACCGATTCGGTTCATGGGCATCTTCGACACCGTCGGCGAGCGTGGCATCCCCGAGTTCGCCGAGGGCGTGAGCGCCGACTGGCCCAAGTTCTACGACCAGCACGTCTCGAGTGTCGTTTCCGACGTCTACCACGCCGTATCTCTCCATGACCGACTCTACGCCTTCCAGCCGTGCCTGATCTCCCGAGACACGGAATACGGACCATCATACGGCATCACCGAGCGCTGGTTCCCTGGCACGCACTACGACGTCACTCGCCAGCACTTCAAGCTTGTCAGAGATGTTCTGCCTCAGCGACTGCAAGCCCTTCTTCCTGCCTGGGCATGGACAAGTCAAACGATCAAGCCGAACGAAGTACTCGCAGATCTCGTGCTGAAGTGGATGTTGGAGTGTGTCGGCGAGCACGACCCGTCAGGCTTCGTTATCCCCAAGCAGCACCTGTACGGGGAGCTGGATAGACTCAAGCATGACATCTTCACGACCAAGAAGACTGGCGACGGCGACGTCTACGAGCGGATCGTCCAATTCGCTCCCTTCGGCCGCTACGTCGACCTGGCCTTGTCTACGGTCTTTGGCAAGTGGCAACAAAGTCAGGTGTACCAGCTGCTCTTTGCATGCAGGCCGAGGCAGATCCCGGAGACAAACTCTTCGGTGTACAACTATCGTTCCCCTGACCCTGATCTTGACGGCAGGATCATTCAGAAGCAGGCGAAGCTGCCTGGTAGCACGCTGAATCCTGCCAACGAAGGCAAGGTGGATCCCCGGTATCCTTCCTCGACCTATGACGGATGGGTGCTGAGACGGTCGTAATATGGCTTGTCTTGCTCTTATTATTGGCATGTCGCATGGGTGAAGAGGGAGTGTACGATATAGGCGTTTTGGGGGCGCATATGATAGAGGCGAGGACTTTCCTTCCCGCAGTAATTTCTAATAATGTTCACCAAAATTTTCACCAGACCAGCTTTCAAGCAATGAGAAAGAGAAGAAAAGCAGACCATTGAGTCTGACTGGGCCACGTTCAAGCTCAGGTCGGATGTCTAATCAAGAATGATCTCATCACGAGACGAAGGAGCTTGTCTCACTTCCAGGTACTCAACAAGTCATTCTCACGACCCACTGCGACAGAAACAGTTCTAATTTCTCACTGCATTTCATTTCCAAATGTGAGAGAATTGCCCATCCTTAGACGTTCCTATTCTTCGATTCTGGCTCCCTGATCAGGCACATCGTGATTAAACAGACGTCATCAAAGACGCAGTTGCAGTGCTGCCGGCTGAAAATAGGTGCAGTGGCTGAGCACAGGGCGAACATCTGAGTTCAGGCACCGGCATCCCGCAAATGCGGTGTTGCTCTGCAGGGTTCACAGAGTTACACATAACGGAGCCGCTGTTGGACGTGAATCCGATCCGACCAACGGGATGAGGCTGATCGTCGGAAGGATTCTTTCCGCCCCTGTGCCGTCCCGGGCTCGGGGGCGTAGACTTTCTTCGAAATAAGAAGCTTTTTCTTTCAGCTTGGCTAAGCGCCCAAGATCTGCCTTCGCAGAGTTGCAGTAGCACTGCCCAATTGATCGTGGCTGCCTGCAACAGGGCGGGTGCGGGGTGCCGATCAGGGCCGCGAAGCTCTGCCAGCCAATTAAGAGTTTTGGGGTCGATGGATTTGGCGAAAACCGACAGTCCTGCAGCTGAGATCCTTTCGTGTAACTGTCCAGCCGCATTCTAGGGGATGTTGCTTGATGGTCCTATTTCCGTGTATTGTTCAATGACCGATGCACTTTGCTCAACACTCATGATGCCGGAGAAAAGAGTATATAAAGGCCTTCAAGTTCTAAGAAGAGAGCCTCTTTCATCCAGCATCAACCACAACAATCTCATCAATTCAGCAGAATATCAACCACCATCCTCACAAACATAAGTCCCCTCAATCATTTAAATCTTTGAATAATCCCTCCCTCCAACATAATGCATTTCACCAACGTTCTCAACATCGTCCTCACCCTTGGCGCTGCCGCCGGCGCCTCTGCCGCAGCAGTTGCTCCTCGCGCCAACCGCAAGGCCAATGAGTTCTCCAGCGGCACCTGGTAATGCAAACTTCGCCATCATAACTCTACACGTACTAACTCTCTCGAAAGTGCCCAGGGAACCGCTTCTTACGAGCATGAGAGCAACTTCAACGTTGACGTCACGATGGACGACACTAGCCACTCCGTCTACTTCGCCTCCGGCCCGTGGTATTTCTTCGATGGCAAGACTGGCAACGGCGGTGGCTGCACCGGCAACCTTCTGGGAAGATGGAACAACGACAATGACCACCCGTGTGTAAACTTGGACGGCAGAGATGGTGACAACCGCCGTATCCAGTGTGTCAGATGGGGTTCTGCCGAGAGAAACTAGATTTTCGGTGGTCTTCAGACACACAGCACATGCATACAACGGAGCACATGTTTTGGGTGCACATACACTCGCTTGAGTTTGGTCCAGGAAGATTGCATTAGCCTTGATAGAACATAGGAAACGCTTTGATTTTCGACAGGAACCATCA